GGAACCAGTGTTGTTCCTTGGAAACTAGCATTCCCCCAAGAATCTAACACTTACCGGAGCTGCTCGAGGGGTAGGGCGGAACAGGAGTCAGAGTATTTGAGGAGACTAAAAGAGATGGAAGACAAAATGTACGCACGGATTGAGGCGACTGTTGAAGCGCGGGTCAAGCAAATTTTTCTATCCAAGGGGTCAGTAGTACCACAAAACCCTACTCCTACTGCCTTTAGCCCATAGTTTTGGGGTCGCGGCAGCTGCGGATCGACCCCGCTCGACGAAGAAGAGGCAAATGTGCCTCATCCGGTGGACGACATCACTGAACCCATCAATGTTAGGTTGTACATCCATTAGGAATGGACAAAGGACAAGGTGGCGCTCGGCCAGGCCTGGCCTGCGGGAGACGGGACAATTAATGGCTGCCCAATTCCACTGGGGTACGCTCGTGTCACCATTGACAGAATCCTTGATAAGAAGTATAACAAGATACCCATTGAGTACCCCGTAGCGGAAGACAGGCTAAAACTTGGTCATAATAAGGGCTCTCAAGTGGCCTGGCGCAAGCGCTTCATTAAGCTTGACCACCAATTATCCTCTGATGATGAGGACGACTGCGAGTCTTCACCCACCCGCGATGATCACTCACCATCTCCCAACAGAGATCACTCCCCTCCTCATCCGGAGCCATTACCCCTAAGAAGACAGAGGTCACCTTCTATTCCTCCTCATCCGACTCCATCTTCATCAGCCCTGAGAAAAGGGACTCCTCCTCCTCCATCTTCATCAGCACTGGGAAAACAGAATTCTTGTCGTCGTCGTCCTCCTCCTCCTCCATCTCAGCCCAAAACAAGATCAAGGACATCCTCGTAGTCACAGAAAAGGTCATTGGATTCAGTCGCTAATGCCCCCAAAGTGGACCAATAAAAAAGAAAAAGGCCGTTCAGTGGTAGCGTTACCACCTTGACGAAAGAAAAATTTATAGCACACATCTCAAAGGAAGATTGTGTTAGTTTCTTCAATCTCTGTGCCTCACTGCCTTCGTTTTTGTTGAAGTCCGAATTCGAAAGGCAAACACAGAATAAATATGCTACAACAAGAGACGAAGAAATACACAATAAAGATTTAAGGAACATACAGAAGTTAGTCGAAGACAACCCTGATTTAACCATGGAAGAGGCCACGAACATCTATTATGATGTACAAGGGACGGGACCACTGGCAATGAAGTATGAAAGGGGCAATCTTTTGGTTCCCGATCATGAGTACAAGAATATGACAACATATATGAGCTAGTTACATGAATATTACATGGCTCAAGCAACAGAGACGGACGACTTTGGTTTTGAGGTTATTATCCGTTCACCACATGTTTTCCATTATCCTAAAGAAGAGAAGTTCGATCTTGAGTGGGAGTGCTTGTTCTAGCTATACCAGAAACGCGATCTTGATGTTCAACTATTGACGCTGTGGACTATGTAAGTACCCTGCACGCACGATATTACAATTAACTACTCTCTCGAGACATAAATTGTTAACTTTTGAGCACTTCCCATGATTTTGTGTAGGTGTATATCAAAATTTTGCATTGTAAAAAGCAAATGGGATTACATAGGCTTCTTGGACCCCTTGCGAGTCAATGAGAGGACATGTCTAGGCCTCTATGGATGTGACGTGGAAGACCTGAAACAGAGATTGATTGCTGTTTTCGACGAATTCACGATGGAGAACAAAACCCACATACTTCTAGCCTACAACTGCGAGTATGTGTTCCCGGCTTTTAATTTTATGCTTCTTTTTTTAAGATTATTCGATAATTAGGATTCTGTGATTGCAGCAACCATTTTGTCTTCATTTGTGTCAATCTTGCCAAAAATCTGATCGAGGTGTGGGACTCGAAGAAAAAACCATTTCATCATCTGGATGCACTGGTGGCAGTGCTGAATTAGTAAGCGATCCTAATAACATATTATTTTCTAATCACACATACCGCTTTCTAATGTTTCTCCCTTTAATGTTGCTCAGTGTCCGAAAAAGACATATCGGTGGGATGCCGGTCCCATTCTAGGTTGTTGAAATAGAGGGAAAATACCTGTCACAGCCGGCGGGAAACAATGAATCCGGGTTTTATGTAATGTGGGCAATGCTTTGCTACATCGGCGGGAAATCGGAAGAAGCCAATAAGTTGGTGTGTATAATCCCCATTTCATTTATGTCTGTTAATAATTTAATAAAATGATTTACTGTTCCTCTTTGGATATCATCTTTTTTGAACGACAGCACAAGAAATATAACCAAAAAAGGATGTTAGACATGGAGATCGTCGCACTGCAATCGGAGCTCGCAAAGTTCATCTTAGCCGAGGTATTGGAAAAAGATGGAGTATTTTCCATTGCACAATCCGTGAGGTACAAGGACCAGTATGGCCCAGAGCAGCTCGCCAGATTATTGTAAGAAGTCCGAGAAGTATTGCACAATCTGTGAAGTCCAAGAACATTTCTTTTTTATTTTGAGGGATCGAGATCTGGATAAGAACATTTGAACTGTAACCGTAACATTTGTAATGTTTAATATTGATAGACCTGTCGTCTACGTAGCGTATATAATGCGAAACCCAATTCCACGAAAAAATATAAATTAAAATCAATTATAAAATAATAAAATGCAAATGGGCATCACTGTCGGTTAGCAACGAACCGACAGTGTTGTCATAACCATCACTGTCGGTTATCAACAAACTGACAGTGTTGTCTTGCAAAACACTGCCGGCTTGGGCCATGAACCGACAGTGTTGGCTTGCTCAACACTGCCGGCTTGAGCCATCAATCGACAGTGTTGGCTTGCTCAACACTGCTGGCTTGAGCCAAGAACCGACACACTTGAAGAAACCATCACTGTCGGTTGGCACTACAAACCGGCAGTGTTGTTCAACTGGACACTGCCGGGTGGAGTCAGGAACCGACACTGTTCCCTGTAGATCAGTGTCGGTTTTTAAGGACCGACAGTGATGTCAACCCCCCATCACTGCCGGTATGCCACTGTCGGTTCAAAATCCAGCAGTGAAGTTGGTTTTTGAACCGGGAGAGATGTCCAGATCTGGGGTAGTGCCTGCTCATTGTGCTCGCTCGCTTTGCTCATCCTTCAGCTAGGTTCGCGCAATGTGGAGAGAGCGAAGAAAGTCAAGCTTTTGCTTGGTCTCGAATATAGCATCAAACGGAAAGACAAAAGGCATTATCTTTGGTGTCTTCTCAGAAAGATGCACGGTCCTTCAAATATTTGCTCATTCTCGGAGAAGAAACACATTTGTAAGGAAGATATATGGTCCTTCGAATACTTGTTGATTGTCGGAGAAGAAACGCATATGTAAAAAGTAATAAGATGTTTGTTTTGAGGAACCGCCACATTATGATGAGGTGGTGCATCATGAGTTTATACTAATTTGGTGAAATGACTCCATTTCTCATGTTTGTACTAATTTTTAGCTTACGAGGGAGTTGGTGATGGACCAACTAATTCTATACCACAAACCAAACAAAAACGTAAGGAGTGAGAATATGATAGAACTAGTTCATCCCTTTTCAAATAACCGAGACCTAGCTAGTGCGATTGAATAAAATAAGTGTTTCTCGTTCCTTTCCAAATGTCCGAGGACTAAGAAAGCCTCTACGTGAGAGGAACATTGAAGCATAAGTGAATTGTCCGTTGTTCACTATCGACTTAAACTTTTAAGTTGAACTGATCGATAGATGCAACTCAATAACCATATATATTCATAGGTGTGAGTGTGTATATGCATCTAGTGGTGGTGTGCGCATGTGATAATGTGTGTGGGGGTGGGGGGTAAAAAAACATAAGGTTGTCATAAAGTTATGATACACTCTAAAGTTCTAACAGCATGTTTGGATCACCTAGCACTAGTTGTTAATCCACTTCTTATTAGAACTAATTGTTCTAACAGCATGTGATATCAGATATTACATGTAGAGATGTCCTGGTTTGTAAGCATCGTACATAACAACATGCACGAAATCTTCTGAAATTTTTATCATAGCCTCCACATACGATATCACGACATCTCAACAAGTTTCATGATTTTCGGACTTCGTTTGCTTTTTATAGAATTTAAAAACACTTTGCACGCAAGTTCGCGGTCATGTTTCGTGAACAAGATGTCTGAAATTTCGGGTCCGTTCCTGGATACGGCCTCACACTACACTCACTAACATGACTATCAATTTTTGAATCATTAAATTCCATTATTCGTACCACGTGCAGGTCAAATTTATATTTTTCGAAAAAATTCAAGTAAACGAAATAAAGTAACTAAATATATCAAAAAGCCACAAAAAATCTCCAAATTATAATTAGGAGTTCCTGGTACTTTAAAAAGGCTGCACAGAAAATTTAGAGGCCAAAAATAAAAAAAAAAATAAAAAAACTTTGCCGAACGCCGGGACATGGTCTTTGCCGAGTGCCAAGAATAAGCGCTCGGCAAAGAGGTTTTTGATTTTTTTTAGAAATTTCCTCTTTGCCGAGTGCCCCATGCCCAGGCACTCGGCAAAGGTATTTGAAAAAAAAATTGCCGACAACCGGATTGAGGCACTCGGCAAAGTTGCCTCCTTTGCCGAGTGCCTCCCTGATCTGGCGCTCGGCAAAGGGGCGGGTGGGGCACTTACACGGATTCGGCCGGGCAGTTAGCCACAGACAGACAGCCCCTGCCGCCCTTCCCCACGCCGAGCGCCGCCCACCACTGCCCCTCCCCACGCCGCGCGACGGTGCCTGCCCCCTCCCCCGCCAGCCCCCGCCCCCGTGCCCGCGGCTGCCCCCGCGCCCGCCAACCATCGGGCCGCCGCCGCCGCGCGCCACCGCCCTTCCCCGCGCCGCGCGCCGCCCACATCAACTCCCCCGCCTTGGTACGTCTACACCCCCGCTCGGCGCGCTCCCCTGGTTCGGACAGACTAGATCCGAGCTCACTGGTTTCCACTCGACTCCCGTAGGTGAAGGGGTTCATGGGGGACGACCAGCTTGGGGAGGCACTGGAGGGCTCTGACATCGTCATCATCCCCGCCGGGGTGCCCAGGAAGCCCGGCATGACCAGGGACGATCTCTTCAACATCAACGCCGACATCGTTAAGGGGCTCTGCACTGCCATCGCCAACCACTGCCCCAACGTAAGCGTCGCGCCCCCTTGCCACTGTAGATCTGTAGCTTAGGGGGCAAATTTTAGGGTTGCTCGCTAGATTTCGTACTCTACTTTTGGCAATTGAATGGCCAGTGGTTGGATTTGGTGCAGATCTAGCGTTCAGTCACTACGTAGAAAACGATTTTTAGCAACGGTTCAATTTTTTTGTAGGGGTGACAGGTGATGGAGCCACCCCTACAGTGGCGTGCTCAGGTGCCCAGACACCAGCCGCCCCTACAAATGGAATAGCAGGGGCGGCTGGTGATACGAGCCGCCCCTAAAAATGGCGTCTGATTTTTAGGGGCGGCTCAATCACCAGCCGCCTCTGGAAATGGTATTTGTAGGGACGGCTGGTGATTGAGCCACCCCTAAAAATGGCCCCATATTTATAGCTCCTATTTGTAGGGGCGGCTCAATCACCAGCCGCCCCTACAAATGGCCCCCCATATAAAACTGAAGCAGCACCTTCTTCCTCCTCGGGTCATTCACTCTAACCCATGAAAGAAAGGTGGGGAGGCCTTGGGCACCTCCCAAAAATTGCTCTACTAAGGGGGGAAGGTTTTGGTCTCAAATCCTTTGGTGGAGAGGTTGTAGAAGGTAAGAAAATGCTATTCCACACTTTTTTTTGAAGTTTTAATGGTTGATTAGTGAATAATTAGAGTTTTGTTTTTCTCTCTCTTCTATGGTGCTTGAGCTATTTATGAGCAAATTAGACCCAACTTTTAAATGTACTAGGGTAAATTAGGGAGGGGAACAAGATCATACCCTTATTTGGTCCATGTTTCTTGATTTTAGTGAACCATTAGTTAGTTTTATGGATGTTTCATGTGCATGTGATCTAGATCTAGGGTTTGGTTTTTTTATTAATTTCATTTTTGTAAATTTATGTTTGATAAAATTGGACTAGGGTTTGTACGAAAGATATTGTGTAAAGTATAATTATTGCTAATTGTTGTCTTTGAAATTGTTTATTGTAATCAATAAATATGTATTTTAATTATTTATGGATAAATGGGCCACTAATTAATTTTCCTCTACCATGGTGTGTTTGTATGCTTCATGTAATTATATTAGATTTATATTCATATATATCTGAGGTATATACAATTATTCTCAAATAATTATTACTTTGATTAATTTTGATATATATCTGAATAAGTAGTCCTTTAATGTTTGTTTTGTTGTTGTTGTAAAAGATGGAGTACAGGAACTCTTGGATGTATGGTTTGTTAAGGTTCAAGGCAGGTTTCCGTGAAGAGGTGGATAAATTTATTGAAGCCGCAACGAAGCATGCAACGACATTGAAAGAGAATAAGGATACAATTATTTGCCGCAACGAAGCTGCTCATCCTGAAGGCTAAGTACAGCTGGTCAGACTGTAGTTTCAATGATCTATTGCATCTCCTGTCATGGGTGCTGCCACAACCAAACTCAGTTCCCGCCAACACATACCAAGCGAAGAAGATCATAAGTCCATTGACAATGGGGGTTGAAAAAATACATGCATGCCCCAACCACTGTATACTTTTTCATGGTGAAACGTTCAAGTCATTGGATAAATGTCCCCGGTGTGGGGCCAGCCGGTACAAGAACAATGACCTTTACGGTGGGGACAAACCATCCACGGGGAAAAAGAGGAATAAGAAGGGTACAAAAAAGGTGGTACAATAATCTCAGCCCCCAGAGGACACTCCATTAGGCAACGATGCAAAAAGAGAGAAGAATTCCGCCACCGGTAATGTGGTACCGCCAAAGGACCGACCGCTTGAGACGTATGTTCCTAAACCCTAAAGAAGCCGCACTCATGACATGGTGGGATGATGAGCGCAAGGTGGATGACGATAAGATTGCACACTGGCTGATTGTAGTCGATGGCAAAGGTTTGATGAGAAGCACAAAGAATTCAAATGATGACCCAAGAATGTACGGTTTGGCACGAGCACCGATGGAATGAATCCCTTCAATGAGAGGATGAGCAACCACAAAGACATGGCCGAGTGATCTTGACCATGTACAACATCCCAACATGGTTGTGTCGAGAAGAGAAAGTACCTTCTCCTCACTATTCTTATTTCGGCCCTAAACAACTGTGCATTGATATAGACGTGTTCCTCGAGCCCTTGATGCAAGAAATGGAGAGACTATGGAGGCATGGGGAGCAGATGTACGATGCGTTCCGAAAGGAGGACTTCATATGTAGAGCAATAATATTTGTTACTACCAATGATTACCCCGCGCTGTTTGCTTTGTCTAGACAGATCAAAGGGAAGACGGGATGCTTGGTTTGCTTGGATGGTACTACATGGGTGTACCTGGATGCATCCAAGAAGATAGTTTACCTAAGGAACCGACGCTTCTTAAAGACAAGTCACAAGTACCACAGCAAATTGTTCTTTAGATTTTATGACAACGCCCTGGAGATTGAACCCCCTCCGGAGAGACGTCATAACGGAGAACATGTGTACAGAATGGTGAAAAACATACGCGTTGTCTATGGAAAGAAGAATCCAGATGGGACGAACAGTGATAGAAGCACACCTCCTATCGAAGGCGTACCTTTCAAGAAACAATCGATCTTCTTTTAGTATCTGCCTTATTGGCCAGACTTGGAGGTCCCCCATGCCATTGATGCTACCTTGATGGACACAGGCAAGTCAAAGGATGGTCTGAAAGCACGGAAAGACATGGTGCAGCTAAACATGATGCCACAGCTTCACCCGGTACCTAAGGCTAATGGAAAATACACTCTGCCCGCGGCGTGCTTCAACCTAACACTAGACGAGAAGAGAGCTATATGCACTTTCCTGAGGGGGATCAAAGTCCCGACTAGGTTTTCAGCAAATGTGAAGAAGCTAGTGTCGATGAAGGACTTGTCAATAACACACTGCAAGGCTCACGATTGCCATGTGATGCTGACAGTGTTTCTACCTATTGCAATCAGGGCTATAAAGCTAGAGTTCTTGAAAATGGCCATCACCCGCATGTGCTACTTCTTTTCAAAGATCTCACAGAAGACGATTGGCAAGGAAGAGCTGAGTGACCTACATGAATTTGTGGTGGAGACACAAAACCAACTGGAGATGTGTTTACCTCCTGCTTTTTTTGATATAATGCCACATCTCATGATTCACATGGTTCATCAGATATAGGCACTTGGCCCTTGCTACTTGCATGAAATGTGGTCCTATGAGCGGTTCATGTCAGTTTTAAGTCGATACGTGCATAATCGAGCATACCCAGAGGGCTCCATGATAGAGGGTTACTGATCAAGAAGTCATTGAGTCTTTGTCAAGAGTACCTAAAAGTACTGAGAAGGGATTGGTAAACCCGATTTCGTCACAAGGGTAAGGTGTTTGGGAAGGGCACCGATGGTAGAAAAGTGTTCATCGACCATGATTACAAAGAGGTGAGGCGAGGCGCATTACGTTGTCTTGCGAGTACACAACTAATGCAACCGTATATTGATGAACACTTGGCTATCATTATGGCAGAGAGAAATGGCCGTTCGAATGATTGGGTCATGAAACAAGACAAGCAATGACTAACTATATGGTTGAAGGACCAAAACATACCGCTGGAGAAACCATAGACTCTATTACCATCGATGAGGTTGGCGGAGGGCCATCGAGACAAGTGACATCTTGGAATGCTTATGACATCAATGGGTACACGTACTATACCCACGCAAAGGATAGTAAATATGTGAACCAAAACAGCGGTGTTCGAATAGAGGCTCTCGATGGATTAGGGCGAAAGATCCAATACTTTGGCATCATTGAAGAGATATGGGAACTTGACTATGGAAGGGATATAACGGTGGCCCTGTTTCGATGCCGCTGGATCAAACAACACCAACTGAACGAGATCAGATTGAGAGTCCTAGACCTCGAGAATCTAGGCTACCAAGATGACCCTTGGGTGCTCGCTTCACGTGTCGCACAAGTTTTCTATATGTCTGACCCACAAAGTAACCTCCCCCCGAAGAAGAAGACAAAGCACGTGGTTGCCTCCGGGAAACAACACATTATTGGAGTTGATGGCGTGGACGATGTTGAAGCTTACAATAACTATGATGAGATGCCGCTATTCACAGACTTTCCTAAGAAGATCAGTGTTGTGGAAAAGAACCTCCCCAAAGATATAATGCCATAGGAACGAAAAGGTGTCAAGGGGAAAGTCGTTACAGCGGGCTAGCTAGTTGTTGAATGTGGAGTGTTTGTGTAAGTGTGTGTTTGTAAGGCTTCATTTAGAGTTCATAATGAAGTTATTTAGAGTTCATAATACTAGAGTCAAAGTGTTGTTTTTTCATTTGACCAAATTTGACTTGGTCAAACTTGCTCAAATGAGACACTAAATGACCTTAGATGAAAAAACTCTGAATAACAAGTTTGATCATCTCAGCAAGATCTACAATTGTTACATAGCTTATTTTCCCATTTGAGAAAGTTTTATCAAACACTAGTCACAAATTCTTGAATCTCATAGACTTTTTGAAACTATGTCACACACTTGTGAAATTTGATCTACATTTTGTTCAAACTTTCTCAAATGAAAAATGGACTATATAAGGATTGTATATCTTGATGACATGAACAAACTTGGTATTCAAAACTTTTCAATTTGAGATAACCTAGGGTTCCGAAAACTAGTTTGTAGGCATCGAAATTTAAAAATCACAAATTTGAACCGTCCAAACTTTCTCAAATGGAAAGTCGACCAAAACAACAATTGTAGATCTTGCTGAGATGATCAAACTTGGTATTCAAAACTTTTCAATTTCAAGTTATTTAGAGTTTATAATACTAGAGTCAAAGTGTTGTTTTTTCATTTGACCAAATTTGACTTGGTCAAACTTGCTCAAATGAGACACTAAATGACCTCAGATGAAAAAACTCTGAATAACAAGTTTGATCATCTCAGCAAGATCTACAATTGTTACATAACTTATTTTCCCATTTGAGAAAGTTTTATCAAACACTAGTCACAAAT